GATCCGATGGGCTCTCCTAGCCCGCAGAGGGAACACGGAGGCTACCATCCGCACACTGGAGGATGTACCGGTCTTCACGGAAGCACTGGGGCTCCCGCGCATCCACGTACTGGACTGGATGAACTGCCCTCTGAACGAACGAAACACGGGACAACTGGCCAGCAGAAGATACCTGACAGAGGGGGACGCACAGTGGCGGATCCAGAACCTGATCTCGGGAGGGGCACTTGTAGATTATTTAAAGAAATAATCCAGACACAATAACTACTACAGCTCAGTGTAGTGGTTATGGTGTCAATAGTGCCGGGACCCCCTCCCAGAGTAAGTAGTCAAACCGTTTAAGAACAGTTTGACAACTTACCTGAGGTCTGCTGGGAAATGGGGCGGTAGTAGGGCATAGGAGCAGTGGTGTGTGTGAGTGGTGCAATGTGTAAGGGGTGCAGTGTGTGTGTGTGTGAGGGGGACAGTGTGTGAGCAGTGTGTGTGTGTGAAGGTTGTAGTGTGTGAGTAGGGGGGCAGTGTATGTCAGGGATGCAGTGTATGTGTGGGACAGTATGTGTGTGTAACAGTTGCAGTGTGTGTGTGAATGTGGGCAATGTGTGTGTATGGGGCGGCAGTGTATGGGGGCAGTGTGTGTGTATGCGGGGCAGTATGTGTGTATGAGGGCAGTATGTGTGTATGGGGGCAGTGTGTGTGTATGCGGGGCAGTATGTGTGTATGAGGGCAGTATGTGTATGGGGGGGCAGTATGTGTGTATGGGGGGGCACCATGGGGGGCAGTATGTGTGTATGGGGGGGCAGCATGGGGGCAGTATGTGTGTATGGGGGGCAATTTAATAATGTGTGTATGGGGGGCAGTATGTGTATGGGGGGCAGCATGGGGGCAGTATGTGTGTGTATATGGGGGCAGTATGGGGGGCAGTATGTGTGTATGGTGGGGCAGCATGGGGCAGTATGTGTGTGTATGGGGGAGCATGGGGGCAGTATGTGTGTATAGGGGGCAGTATGTGTTTATGGGGGGCAGTATGTGTGTATGGGGGCAGTATGTGTGTATATGGGGGGCAGTGCGTGTATGGGGGGGCAGTATGTGTGTATGGGGGGGCAGCATGGGGGGCAGTATGTGTGTATGGGGGGGCAGCATGTGTATGGGGGGCAGCATGGGGGGCAGTATGTGTGTATGGGGGGCAGCATGTGTATGGGGGGCAGTATGGGGGCTATGTGTGTGTGTGTGTGTGTGTTAAGGGTAGGGGGGGGCTTTTTTTTTTTAAAATATATATCTTTATTTAATAAAAAAAAAAAAATATGTCCCCCCTCCCTTCTTACCTTTATTGAGGAGGAGGGGGGACATATTTTCATCCCTGGTGGTCCCAGTGGGGATTCCCTGGTGGTCCCAGTGGTTACAGTGAACTCTAGCCCGCGCTCCCGGGCTAGAGTTCACTTTCGCGAGATTTGGAGCGTTGCCAACGCTACAAATCTCGCGAGAGGAGGACCCGGAGGAGCTGCAGACTGAGCTCCCGGGTCCTCCCTCTCACTCCCTCCCTCCCCTGCCGGCTGTCAGCAATGTGCCTGCGGACCGGGGAGGGAGATCTCCGATCTCCCCTCCGGTCCGCAGGCACATTGCAGGGCTGGCACCTGCATGTGCTGCTGGCAGGGGAGAGGGAGACCGGCGGATTTCTCGGGGGGGGCAATTGCCCCGTTGCCCCCCCCCTGGATCCGCCAGTGGTTTACACTGCAGGGTTAATCCAGCCTCTAGTGGCTGTCTCACTAACAGCCGCTAGAGGCGCTTCCGCGATTCTCACTGTGAAAATTACAGTGAGAAGACGCTGGACGTCCATAGGAAAGCATTGAGTAATGCTTTCCAATGGGCGGTTTGAATGCGCGCGCGGCTCTTGCCGTGCATGCGCATTCAGAGCTGAGAGGCGGATCAGGGCGCAGGGATCCCCAGCACCAAGGGAGTCCGGCACTGGAGACAGGAAAGTGCTGAAGGGGTTTTAAACACACACTCTCATGAACACACGCATACACACTAGCTAACAGACAAACATATTTACCAACAGAGACACACTCAGCGACATACATACATACACACTCACTTACAAAACATACATTCTCACTGCCAAACACACACTCACTAACAGACACCAAACAGACTCACTAACAGACACACACAAACTAACACACTCAGTAACAGACACACACAGTAACACTCACTGACACACACACACACACTCACTGACACACAAACTAACATACACACTGACACTCACTAGCAGACACACACTCAATAACAGACACACACAAACTAACACACATACACAAAAACTGACACGCACTAACAGACACACACACAGTAACACACACACTAACACAAAAACTAACACTAACACACACACACTCTAACACTAACACACATAGACTTTTAAAAAAAAAAAATGTGATCTCCAGCCTCCCTACCTTTGGGAGTGCTGAGGAGATTCCCTGGGGTCCAGTGGTGTTGCTGGGTGGCCGGTCCTGCTGATCACTGAGATCCTCCTGTTTAGCTCCCTCGCGTGCCGCTTTCTGATGCCGGAGCTGGAATGACGTCATATTCCGGTTCCGGCATCAGTGCAGTGCGCGCGAGGGAGCTGGGCAGAGAGCGCTCAGGGGAGAGTGCTCCCTTGCACGCCCGCAGGACCGCCAGCCCAGTGACACCTGGGCCAGTGTCGGAGGGCCCTGAGGTGGCCAGCTCCTGGGCCCCCCAGCAGAAGAGGCTGGCTACACTGGTGCCCTGGTAGGCTGGGCCCAGTAGCAGCTGCGACCCCGGTATGTACACCACTGAACCCAGGCTCTGCTTAGGGCAAGTCCTGCAGGGTTGGGTGCTGTGAGTCCTGGGTGTAGCTGTTTCAATATTATATGGGGCCCAGGCTCTGCTTAGCGCAAGTCCTGCAGGTTTGGGTGCTGTGAGTCCTAAGTGTAGCTGTTTCAATATTTTATGGGGCCCAGGCTATAAAGGAGAGAATCTAGGGTTAGATAATACAGACTGTGGGTGGAGAATCATTGAGGTGTTAAAAACAAAACAAAAATCAAGGAAAAAGCAGATGAAAGGGAATTTAAATTTAAGGATATGAGGGAATGGCAGAGATCAGATAGGTAAAAGTTATAAATAGGGAGCATCATAAATTAACGAGGCTTAGAGTGCAATAACTAACACTAGCAAAACTAGCATTATGAACTTTTTACAGAAAGTAGCAATACCCCTAGGTCAAGAACTTTTTACAGAAAGTAGCAATACCCCTAGGTCAGATTATGGATAAAACACCTTTTGAGACTTTATGTGGGCCTGGTAGCTCCCTTAAACGCCCCTATCCAAAATGTATAAACTCCTGCAAACAGGTTTTACAGAACACAGCGATAAGGCCTTTCAGAAGAAATGGATGCAGGGTCTCCCCATACACTTGACGGACAGGGAGTGGGCGAATTTGTTAGTGAAGGGGATGACTCTATCCACCAGTGTGTCCAGGAGAGAGACGTTCTACAAACACATTACTAGCTGGTATAGAACTTCCATGCAACCACACAGGTTCTGGCCCACGCTAAGTGATCGGTGTTGGAGATGTGGGGAAGAACCAGGGACCATGGAACATATAAGGTGGTTCTAATGACTGATTAGACAATATTGGAAACAGATAATACTAACCATAGTAGACATACTTCCCTTGAAAAATAAACTGACACCATCCCAGGTCTTGTTGGGCTGGCCGAACTCACTACAGAATCACCACAATCAAAAACTACTGGACCTCCTACTGGAAGAAGCCAATGCATTAATCCCTGTATTCTGGCGACAGACCCAAATCCCCACTAGGGAACAATGGTTAAGCTGGGTAGAGAGTATGAGACAATTAGAGGACCTACATTGGTCTGTTGAGGGTAAATGTAAAGCATATCTCCAAACATGTGAGCCTTGGTTAGAACATTGGAGATAATGGTATCACTGAACAGTGTCACAACAACGAACGAACTGTTGAGTCTAATAGAGCATACGATATAGGACATCCCTCCTCATCCGATTTTGCTCCCCCGGTCCCAACACCTATCACACCCAAGGCTTTGCCGAGGAATTAAGAAATTGAGTAGGAAACTGACGCATCACTAGCATATTACATATAGAGCGGGAGGTAAAGTAGGTCTGAGCCCATGGAGCAGGTCTATGGAATAGAGTTAATGTATCACGAACACCCGTACACTTAGAACTTCTATATCTCCTTGCATCTGGTGGTTGGCTGATACACTCTCATAAAGGATTCAAAGGGCAGCCTGCCGGACACCAGTTAAACACACGGGCCACACGGGAACAGAGGGAATACCCTAGACCCACTGCTCAATGCTTTCTTATATTCCGTGATTGTAACTAAACAATGTATGATATACTTTGTAAAATGCCTTGACATCCCCCCTTTGTGTACATTGTCTCTCCTCTTTCTTTCTGTACCACCAATTTCTTCTTGCTTTGAAAATAAGAAACATTGAAATAAAAAATAAAAAAATAGTTCATACATTCCTCCTTACATACATAAACATGACATAATATTTACATTATGTCATGTTTATTTTAAAACTTTTCATTACTACCTTTACTCAGGCTTGTTGGCCAATTTGGGATTAACTTAAATATCAGTGTTGACACATTTCATTTGGAATTTAAATCAATAGAAATTACTTTCTTGAGGGAGGGGTACTTAGGACTTTTTTTTAGACCTGCAGGGGTACTTCTCCATATAAGGTTGAGAAACACTGCTATAGGACATGCTTGTTGTGCTTTCTCTGCTGCCTCATGCCTGGCATTTTAAGGAGATGCAGGAACAATTAAACTGTGACTAGCATGACACACGCACTGTATACTGATTGGCTTTTTTACATTTTGAAATTACGATCTGTTACTGGAAAATACAAGGATATACATTTATTGGGGCATTCAAAAAGTTTCATCCACTTTGCATATACTTGTATATTTTAAATTCCTTAAATACACTTTTTCCAAAAACATGAAGTCATTATTGTTCATGGAAATAATTTTCATAAAGAGCGATTAAATAATAACTGTTCAATGCTATTTGGCTTTTCATTCAGCTCCTTGGATATTTAGTGCTGGTTTAGACAGTATGCGATCCACATGAGCCATTTTATAACTTATTAGCATACAGGAGTTTTAATGAATAATTTCTATCGATTGTTGTGCCTGACACAGAATATTTAAAGGACCACTCTAGGCACCCAGACCACTTCAGCTTAATGAAGTGGTCTGGGTGCCAGGTCCTTCTAGGGTAAACCCATTTTTTTATAAACATAGCAGTTTCAGAGAAACTGCTATGTTTATGAATGGGTTAAGCCTTCCCCCTAATCCTCTAGTGGCTGTCTCATTGACAGCCACTAGAGGCGCTTGCGTGCTTCTCACTGTGATTTTCACAGTGAGAGCACGCAAGCGTCCATAGGAAAGCATTGTAAATGCTTTCCT